TTTGTCTCATTTGTCTTTGTCCCTGTGATGGACTGGAGACCTGTTTAGGGGTCCCCTTGCACACTGACTGCTGGATATAGGCACCAGTGACCCCCACGACCTGGAAATGAAGAAATGGGTAAAGATAATGGATGGATAGACTAAACTGACATTTTTCCATTTTTCTGCACTTATTAGTTTCACCACTAGATGGCAGCAGATCGTTGAGGCTTTTGGGGGGAACAAGAGAGACATGTTTCAGTTTAAAACCGTCTTCTTCAAATAAGATAATGTCTGAAGTTACAGAAAGCAAAGTGAAGTGTTTGAGCTGCATGTATTCTGCTGGGACTGCTGCAAAATAAAAAATAAAGATAAATTAATTGTGAAATAATTATTAGATTCTTGTAAATGTATGTTATCTCGCTCTACAAATTGATTGACAGCTGCTGCTGATTGACTTCATAACTCTGTTCATGCTGGTAAGAAAATAACTATTTCACATTGAGCCACGAGGACTCGTTTACAAGAGAGACACGATTTTAACAGAGTGATGACAATAGTGACTTAATTGAACTTGCAAATAAAAATAATTTCAATTGAATTTTTGCATTCTTGAATAAAAGTTTTATGTATATTATGTTCGATGTGTCTAAAGGGCGATGCGTTATTTGTTTTTACATGGTTTCAGGCTTTTTAAACATTTGCGTAGAGGCTTTTTATTTTATATTAAAAATACTCAAAACAAGGGATGAGCTGATGGAACACAAACTGACACAAAACATTGTTTAAGCCCTGTTTGATCAGCATAACTTATCACAGATTTAGCAGAAGTGTGAAGTGTTTTGAAACGTTTATGTCTTATTTCTGTTGAGTTTTGGTGCAAACACCACAAGAGGTGCATTTAACATTGTTTATATTCACCAGAATTTGGAATATTTTTGTTAGAAAGCACCGTCTATTCTCATGATTATATATATTTTACAATTCTTGGCAGGTAATTTGTATTTTAAATGCCACCCATTTTTTCTGTTTATATGTGTATAAATTTGAGGAAGTGGAGTTGAAAAGCTTGTGTTTTTAGAGAAGGAAGAACTGTGAGTGTTTTTTAAGTAGGAAAAAACAACAGCACAAATATTTGTTACCCACAATTCCTGTTGAGCTGTTTAGTGTTTGTTTGTTGTACCCGGCTGCCCCCCTCCGTGCTCTCAAGAGGTTATGAGTCATTTATCAAGCCAGTGACAAAATTCTCCTCTACAAGCTGAGGTGCTCTCTGTGTGTCCACGTACACGATGAGCGCTGTTATACTTTGTCCCTCGACGGACTCGCACAAATACCTCTTCAAAGTTCTCCGAGGAGGCCGTTTCTTTTTACTATTCAAACTTGCGCCGCCACACTTTTCTTTAGCGAGCACACAGGCACAGTTGGTGCTCCCAACCACCTGCAAAGTACAGATGGCGCACCCCGCCTCCACAGACACCTGCTATGGAGAGCATTAAATGGCCATTAGTGGAGGTGGGGGGGTAAGAAGGAAATAAAAAGCGGGCAGTGAAAGTGCTGGTATGTCATATCATACATTAACTCAGCCAGATGGCCAGCCTTCTGCAGTGAAAGTGACACTTTAATCTGCAGTGTAATGAAGGTGTAAGAACTAAGTCAGTTCTGCTTTTTTACATTTTTCAGTGCTTTTAACACAGACGTGTTTATTCTGGCTCTGCATATTAAATTGATTAGATCAATTTCTGGAAGTGCAATCAGATGCATTGCTTTTATTTTCCCGTCTCGTGACTTTTCGTCTTTTTACAGTTATAATTTTAGGGATAAATTTCAGGGAAACATTGGAGGGGATTAACTCTTTGATTAACAGTAGGATCTATTGTGAATGTAGCCGAAGCCCAGTGAAGTCATGTTGGGCTGATTGGTCTTGCCCCCCTGCAGTGCTCCTTCCCCTGGCCACACACACGCTGTCGGGTCGCCCTGGAGCCCACAGTCGTCCTGCAGGAATGCGGCTTGCTGTCTGGCCTTAAGGGCTGTTAACAACACTTCAGGATTGTCTGCCTTTTTTTAACCAGTTCCTCAAACAAACAACGCACACGGGCACACTCCCTGTTAGACATTTCAGAAGCAAACAGCCACACGTACGTTCACGTACATCACGTACACACCTAAATGTGCGTCCTCTGATTTTCCGCCTCATTTAACGTCAGAAAACGGGCCAACCTCAACTGTCCGGCCACACTTTCTGCTCTCGCTCATCTTTAAACTTCTGGAGTACAATAATTGATTAGTCTGAGGAAAAAAGATTAAAATAAAAGAAGTTAATCCTCAATTAGTTTGACGATCAGTTAATACCACCTAATCTAATTTGTCACTGATGAGGTTTTGCTTTTTATCGTTCAAATGTTGCTTAATTTTCAGTATTTTGATCAACAGAATCATTTAAAAGTATTTGCTATTTAATATTGCTTTTATGTGGTAATGTTTTATTGTTTTGCTTTCAGTAATGGTGCGTTCAGTGGAAAATAAATAACTTTACATTGTCTGGCTAAAAACATATATATTTAGGAGACAAAACACTAGAAAAGCATATGTAAAGTATTATTTGCGTATTTCTGGTGAGAATTGACTGGAAGCACAAAAAACAGTTAAACCATGTCTGACATGATTTACCGTATTTTCCGCCGTACATGTCGCACCGCACTATAAGCCACATCTGTCCAAATATGTCTAATAAAGTGGAAAAATTCATAAATACGTTGCTTCGCCGTATACGTCACAACTATTATGCGTCACCGCTGACAACCCAGAAATGTGGACCGGTGTTGTGCCAAAAATCAATAAGCTGCCAAATGGCGACCACTGGGGCATACACGGGAGGACTTTAACAAGATTTTAACTAGATTAACACTTATAAACAATTATTTGTTTGCTTGAAAGTATAGCAAAAGTGTGTTTCAGTTGAACTTTTATTTAATAAATGCACTTCAATGGTCAATTTAGCTGCATTTCGCCGGGGCGCCACAGCAAAATGAAGCTGATTTGACTGTTGCTGCAGGCGAGCTGGACGAAGGTGGCAGGCTTTGGCAAACCGACTGTGTCATTAATAGCTGGTGAAGATTCTCAGTCATCCAGGACATGGTAAATTAAAACAAGTTCAACACAAAAATAATAAAGGATAATAAATAAAGTCTAGTTGTTTTTGTCTTGAACTTTTTTGAATTTGTCATTATAGCCACTTTTACCGAGAAGGGGTTCTCTGCAGGCCAAAAGTGGGCGTTTCTGGCAAATAGGTGCTTGTGGGGGGCAAACACTAGCTGTATTTGCTGCTCTTTAGTTAAGTTATGTCAACTCTTTTTTTTTTAAATAAAGGTTTCTAAGAACCAGCGTTATATCTACTGTCAAACACAAGAAGATTCTCTTTTGTCCTCGGGTTGTAGCTGCACCTGACACAAGTTGCCTTGAGTATGGTCTGGGTACAATGAAATATGAAGCATCTGAAGCAAAACCTGCTCCCAGTTGTCCAAAAAGTCTGGTCACAATTAAAGATAATGAGTCCTATGACGAGATAATGGCCCAAAACAAACGCTAAAAACAAAATTTGCTCTTTAGAAGTTCTTCTATGAGATCTGATCTATGAAAGGAGCTGAAACATGGAGTAGGGTTGACCTTTAAAATGTGAAACAGCTGAGGAAGTTAACCAGTAAACAGAAATACCTGCTCCAGTTGCAGAAATCTTACAGAAACTGACAATCACTCATCTACAGTGTCTGCAGGTTGAACAAGAAAATGTGAAGTTAAAGGAAACATCCTTTGTCCCAAGGCCAGTTTAAGTATCATTATTATTTTTGGTTACTTTATTTTTCTTTCTTTATGAATCGATTGTAACTATTTTCACATTTTTCAACAACCAAAATGGATTTTGTTTTTTAATGTTATGGCTAGGTATTTAAAAAAAACATTTAGCCCTCCCCACTACCCAGTTATGTTGCTCTTATTTTGAAATGTAACCGGAAGTTCTGTTAAGAGAGGCGGAAAAATGAGTTATGGAGACGCCGCTAATGTCAAACCGAGACACCGCCAATGTTGAACCTGAGACGCCGCTAATGTTGAACCGAGACACCGCCAATGTTGAACCTGAGACGCCGCTAATGTTGAACCGAGACACCGCTAATGTCGAAGCGGTTAACACCATAGACATAATATGTCTGTGGTTAACACAAACGGCTTTTTATCGTTCAGCCTTTTTTCTATCGTCCAATCAGATGTGGCCGGCCAGACACGCCCATTTGTCTATAGTCCAATCAGATATGACCCACTGGATACGTCTCGTCCAATCAGATGTGGCCCCCCAGATACGCCTTCCGAATTTGCCTGCAGTGATACCTACTTGCTTTTACCTATTACATACGACATGCGTTACTACTCTGCTCCCATCTAGTGGTTAAAAAATGGTACTGTTCAATCTTTTTCAGTCGGAATGAATGAAAACGGTCATATCTCAGCCAAAAATTGGTTTATAAATATGGGAAAAAATCCATAAATACGTCGCTTCGGTGTATAAGTTGTAAGGCATGTAAATTATGCAACAAAAAAACGTGACTTATACAGCGAAAAATATGGTAACCTTTTTTGTGATTTATTTACCTGGATGGTTGAGCTTACAAACCAATTTACTGGAATAGATGAGGCATGAATCAGGTGCAGAATGATTTGCAGATAAAAATAAAGATGAGGAGGTTGGATTTTCTCTACTGCTGAGAAATTGTTGCATGACGTACTTTTCCACTGCAAATCTGATCTGCGTAATGAGTGAGATATTTTAAATCCAGAGGACCCAACAGAAAGTTTGAAACATTTATTGACTTCAGGTACCCAAAGGTGATTTCATAGGTTCAGAAATAATTAAATTTTTTCATTATATATCTATTTAAATGTTGTCGTTTTTTTATTACTGTTACGAATGTGTTGAAAAAAAAATTCAACTTGTTACTACCATTGCTAATATTTTCAATTTGTATCTTCAGGCAAAGTCACAACCTTCACTGACCTGGATGAGGAAATAGATTTTCTTCACTCCGTCATAGAAAAACAGCAAGTTTCACAGATCAAAACAACAAAAAATCATCCAAAACAACCTGGTAAGAGACCTGAGCGACAGTTTAAACACGCCTGCTTATTCACTTTAAAGTGCAAACTTTAAAATGTGTGTAATCAAGAAACACAATAAAGTCTTATTTATCTTTCACATTTCTTCAAATAGTTCTTTAAGCTATAATAGTTTTCATTTTGTGTTTATTTACTGTTCGTGTCCTTTTTCTTTCAGCTTCCATTTCCTTCCAATCTGATAATGAAAACAAGATTTCCAAACAGATATCCCAGAACAGACTCTTAACCACTGCAGCTCCGGGCTCCGTCCATCCCAACACATCGACCCCCCAGGCCAGGATCACCGGAGCTGATGGCCGAGCTGGTCCTGTAGCTGTTCCAAACCCCAGAAATGACAGGATTATTCTCAGTGAGTGTGATGTTCACTGCTTAAAGCATGTTAAAGTGCAACAATTCCTGCAACAGGAGGCCTGTTTTAAACACAGAACGGTTAGCAGATGTTTTTACTACTTTACTGATGACATACTTTCTATATTTTATTTATTTTTTATCTGCAGTTATGATCTCGCTGTGCGCCGTGGTGGGAACTGTTGCTCTGATCTTGGCTGCTGTTTGTTACGTCAAGTAAGTGTAACTGGGAAATCCCACCTTCTGTAAATCAAGGAAAGAGAAAACAACATGTAGAAGGTTTGTTATGACTGTTTATGACTGATGACTGTTTGTTATGAATGTTATGACTGTTTGTTATGACTGATGACTGTTTGTTATGACTGATGACTGTCTGTTATGACTGTTGTGACTG